CTGATGGGCTTTCCTTTGTATGTGATCTTAATTCTGCCTCTGGCTGCTTTTAACAGTCTGTCCTTATCCTTGATCTTTCCCATTTTAATTACTATGTGTCTTGGTGTTGTCTTCCTTGGGTCCCTTGTGTTGGGAGATCTGTGGATCTCCATGGCCTGAGAGACTATCTCCTTCCCCAGATTGGGGAAGTTTTCAGCAACTACCTCCTCAAAGACACTTTCTATCCCTTTCTCTGTCTCTCCTTCTTCTGGTATCCCTATAATGCGAATATTGTTCCATGTGGATTGGTCACACAGTTCTCTCAATATTCTTTCATTCTTAGAGATCCTTTTTTCTCTCTGTGCCTCAGCTTCTTTGTATTCCTCTTCTCGAGTTTCTATTTCATTTATCATCTCCTTTACTGTATCCAACCTGCTTTTAATACTGTCCATCGTGCTGTTCAATGATTGGATTTCCAACCTGAATTCATTCCTGAGTTCTTGGATGTCTTTGCGTACCTCCATTAGCATGTTGATGATTTTCATTTTGAACTCCCCTTCAGGAAGAGTCACGAAGTCCATATCATTTAAATCTTTCTCAGGTGTTGTATTAATAATTTTACTCTGGACCAGGTTTCTTTGGCGTTTCATATTTGTATATGGCGCCCTCTAGTGTCCAGAAGCTGTATTCTGGAGCTGCTCAGCCCCTGAAGCAATGTTGGGGGTCGCCGGGGAGCAGTATTGGTTCCTGGTTGGAGGAAAGAGCTGTTCCCTGCTTCCCGGCTGCTGTGCCTGTCTCCACTGCCTGATCTAGTGTGCCAAGCACACAGGTATAATAAGCTTTTGTCCCAGAGCAGCCGGATATGGATCCCTGCTTTCCACAAGCGGCCGGAATCCCAGTCTCCCCAGGAATTCCGCCTGTCCCAGCTTTCCAACCCCTTAATCAGAAGAGTATGATGAAAGTACCATGAAATGTAGGTTTGTGCTCCCAGCGCAGATCTCCCGAGCTAGGTATTCATCAGTCCCAAACCTTCTACTCCCTCCCTGCTCCGTTTCTCTTCCTCCTGCCAGTGAGCTGGAGTGGGCGAAGGGCTTGGGTCCCACGGAGCCACAGCTCTGGTACGTTACCCCGTTCGGTGAGGTTTGCTCTTTTCTCCAGGTGTGTGCAGTCTGATGCTGTCCTCTTTCCTGTTGCTCTCTCAGGATTAGTTGTGCCAACCATATTTTCTAATTGTATCCTGTTTTAGGAGGAAGCCTCTGTCTCTCCTCTCACGCCACCATCTTTAATCCTTTTCTTATTTGGAAAGTTTTTAAGCAGCTCTCTTTCCTCCCATTTTATTTGGGGAACCTTTTTTCCTCCTCTTCCTGCCCCACCCATTGTGAGTTCTCTCCTGCACATGCCTGTGTAAAGTATTGTAGCTATAACTGTTAAAGTGTGTCTTTCATATATTTAAGTAAATTGTAGCATTTAGATTCCTTACTACTGCTTAAAATCATTTCATTATACTTGTGTAGTTGTGATTTTATAAGTCATAAAAAATAAATATTTGGTCATTCATATGACCAAATATATATTTGCCAGGTATATTTGGACTTCATCCACAATTCCTGAAAACACTGCAAAAGTCTTAAAGGTGAAATGAATGTTGTGTTACGTTAATGAGAGACTTTGTACCCCCCACCCAAGGGCAGGGGCTGGAGGCTAAATCAGCCAATGGCCAATAATTAGTCAATCATGACTATGCAGAGAAGCCCCCATAAAAGCCCCTGAGAAGAGCTTGTCATTGTGTCAGTGCTCTGCTCTGCCTTGTGTGCTCTGCTCATTTGGATCCTGCTGCTTGGTGGAAGAAAGCTTCTAACCTTGGGAAACCGGAACACCTCCATATGCCACTGAGCCAGGCCCCAAGCTCCACCAGGGTAGAAACTCCTTTATTTGAGACCTTGCCCTATGTATCTCTTCATCTGGCTGTTAACTTGTATCCTTTATGGAATCCTTTATTAAACTAGTAAACGTTAAGTGTTTTCCTGAGTACTGTGAGCTCCTCTAGCAAATTAATTGAACCTAAGTGGGAGGTTGTGGGAACCTCCAATCTGTAGCCGGCAGGTCAGAAGCACAGGGAACTGGTGGAGGGTGGATGGCAGTCTTGTAGGACAGAACCCTTAACTTGGGGAATCTGGTGCTGTCTCTTTGCAGATAGCATAAGAATTAAGTTGAGTTCTCCAGCATCCTGCTGGTGTTCGAGAATTGCTTGGTGTTAGTATGTATGGGAAGTCCCCCTCCCACATACTTAACACACATTGGAATCAGGTCTGGGAACCCAAATGAAGTTATACTACTATTACTGCTGTGTATATTATTGTTTTTGTTATAAGTATACATAGGGAAAAAATACACCATTGCATTTGGTGTTGAAGGAGTGGTATATACAGTAGTTAAATTTCTCTTCTCTTGGCAGACCTATCATAAAATGCAGCAGGGCCTCCTCTGACTAATATAAACTGGTCTCAGATGGAAGGTAGGATCCCCTCCAGTTCTTTACATAGTAGGACTATACACTTCTCCAGAGCGCTGCTGTGAAAATCATTTTCCTTCTATGAAATCTGTTGATTTGATTGTTTTCAGAAGAGAAAAAAATTTTAATGCAAACCTTTAAAGTTCTTTTTAAAAACTAGAGTGACTCCCCAATTTTAGATTTACATTTAATAATTAACTTTAGTTAACCTTTTTATTTTGAAATAATTGTGGATTTATATGCAGTTGTGAGAAATAATAGAGATCCCATCTACCTTTTACCCAGTTTTTTCTAGTAGTAGTGTCTTGTTAGAACTATAGTATAAATACCACAGCCAGGCTATTGACACTAATACAATCCATGATCTTGTTCAAATTTCTTCAGTTTTACTGTACTAATTTGTGCGTGTATTTAGTTCTGTGTATTTTGTTAGATCTGTAGTCTCAACATATGCAGCACTACAATCAAGACACAGTTACACCACAAGGATTCCTCCTGTCCTTTTATAACCACACTCAGTTCCCTCTTGCAGCCCCTAGTTCCTGAACCCCTGGCCATCACTAATCTGGTCTCCCATTTCTATAAATTTGTCATTTCAAGAATATTTTATAAATGGAATCATACAGTATATAACCTTTTTTGGGTAGTTTTTTTTCCCACGTAGCATAAATTCCCTTGAGATTTATTCAGTTTGTTGTGTGTCAATAGTTTATTTCTTTTTATTGCTGAATAGTCTTCCGATGTATGGATGTACCACAATTTGTCTAACTATTCATTGTTGAAGGACAACTAATTCATTTCCAGTGTTGGGGCTATTATGAACTTAGTTTCTAAGGACATTTATTTATGTGAACATACATTTTCATTGCCAAGAGTGTAATTACTGGGTCATATATGAAGTGTATGGCTTGCAATTTACTTCAAAAATCAGCATATTAAAACCTAACCCTGTTAAATTATTTGCTCTTACATTTTTTGGTGAAAAACATAATTTTACAGTTCCTGGTAAAGCTGTCTTATGCAGTCCATTGTTCATGTAGCCAGGGAGTTTGCGTTTTGGAATCTTATCAATCTTAGGCTTTATGATGGTGAAAGCTGACAGAAATTGAATCCCAGTGTCTTCAAAGGGTAATTTTCCTTCCTATGAAACAATGTGCATATCAATTCTTACATTTTTTTGCATTTGATCCTTAGTTTTAATATTATAGTAAAAGATTGCATTTTATTTTCTCTTCTTACAGCGGCTTTGTGACTATGTTTGTGATCTCCTCTTGGAAGAGTCAAATGTCCAGCCAGTATCGACACCAGTAACAGTGTGTGGAGACATACACGGACAGGTAATATTTCATGAGCAGATACTTAGTTTTTCTACTGTCTCTAGCCCATGTGTGCTGAATAAACAATTGGTGGTTGGTCAGGTTGCTTCAATCTGTGTGACACTAATGATTCCTGCTTACTGTTACAGTGAATCAAAGTGGTCAAATTATTCAAATTATTCATAAAGTTTGTTGAAATTATACTTTCAAAGTAAACAGAATGCAGCATTATTGCTGTGTGGAAAGGGGAGATATAAAACAAATGTGGACAGTTACTATGATTAATAGGAGATGCTTTGGTTTTAAATGCTAATTTTTTATTCATTCCATTCATTTCTGTTTACTTTGTTCACTTATGTAATATTTTATTGAAAATGTATCATTTTTCCTTAGTGAAATGGGAATAGCAAAGATTCAGAAAGATAAAAATGGTGATGCGTAATTTCCCAGCAAGTCACTGTTAGAATGGAGTGAGAAAGATTTAGTTCATTTTTTTCGATTGCTGGGTTTTGTTTGTTTTTAAGAGTTTTAAAGTTGTGACAGGAAACGCACACCTCATTTTTAGATTTGTACTGTTAGTTTTTAGCCTAGTTGGAAACCTTCTGTGTATTTGTAGAGTATTGTTTTGTTTTGTTTTACTGGGAAGTTAAAGCTGAACAGGACACTCATAGCCTACTATATGCATACAGTGGAATTGGGCTGTAAGACATGTAATATGAACAATATAATACTTATGAAGGCCAACAGGACTTACTTTCATCTATGCAATTTCCTGCCTTAAATATGATTGTCTAGAGGAACAGAAATGTGTATAAATTGGTTGTGATGAGGAGCTGTTCCATGAGTAAAGTCTTAATGGCTACTGAAAGGGCTCTTTTCTTTCTGGTTTTTCAATCTGTTCCCTGGATGGTTGAAGTTGTAATAAATCTGACATCTGCTTGTTAGCAATCTAAATAGAGACCCCATTATATCTTCTTTGATCTGTTAAAATTCTAGTTCTCTGGAGTATTCTTCAGAAGGGATTTTCCTAAACTTTCCATATATTCTTTCCAAAAATATAGTAAACATATGTATTTTGCTAACATAAAAGATATTAATGCTTTAACACATTCCTCAGAGCTGTAATAAAACACGTAATGTTTTCCCATGGTTAAATATTAAATTTGAGGAGTTAACTGTGTTATCAAGGACTTTCAACATATAAATTACAGCCATGGTCAAAAGTCAGGAAGTTAGAGAAACTTCAAACAACTAAAATTATTTAAAATAAAAAAATTGTACTTCTCTTTATATATATACCTCCCGGCAAATGTACAGTTCTTACTAACATTTATCTTGTGTTTTGAGGTTAAGAAAGTATTTTTTAACATATTCCATGTCAAATTTTTTCAAGAGTTCTATGAAATTGGATCATTTTGTAGAAAAAGAAACTGAGACTGAAAGATGGAATAATTAGCCCAAACGTGCACAACTACTAAAGGACAGACCTGAGATTTGAAACTCATTGGGGTGCTCGATAGCCCATATTATTTTAAGACTACTACTAAACTGAAGATTGTTTCTGTTGTACTTGACCCTTTAAAACAATTGCTAATCAAAAACATCAGACTTGAGCTTCTAAAGTCTTTGATAAATCAACTGTAATATATATATCCTTTTGTACTTGTACAGTTGTCTTCCCCTTGGGCCAGTTCTGGAAATGGAAGATTGGATTATGAGTATAAATAAACTCACAAAATGCTGGCAAGCATAGAGTGCTGAAAAGCATTTATACAGTGTAATCTAGTGAGGAGATTGTAAACGTCAGTGTCGACAGAACTTGGTTTAAGTCCTGGCTCGGCTACATCCTAGCTATTTAAGAAGCCTCTTTGGTTAGCTCACAAGTTCTCTAAGTATGGCCTATGGACCCTTGGGGGTCCCTAAGGTGGTACACTATCAATGAGGGTAAAACTGCTGGTGCCTGAGTAAAAGTCAAGGGTATAGCACCGGCACTGATTATCATATTCTTCACCAGCATGCATACACAGTAAAATAAAATGCCAGTACCACTGACAAATGTCTTTGATGAAACAGGTATTACTAATTGTAACTCTCAACCCTTGAGTAGGTAAGTCTTCTGAGTAGTCCTTGTGATGAAATAGGAATTATGCATAAAACACATCTGCTGCATACCAACGAAGGATGGATGCTCAAGGAAGATATGCCGCTCTTTGCATTGCAAGCAGAAGGAACCTCTTTTTTTGTGGAACGCTATTTTTACCTGAGAGAATAATTGACAAACAGTGGTTATTTGACAACCATTTTTGCAGAAGTGATGAGCCAGTCACTTCAAGGAAAATGAATAGTATTTGTTGCCACTGACAAAATTTAAGTTTTCAAATGAAAAATTAGAATTTTAGAAAATTTGAGTCCATGATGAGGCTATCCGCTTCTGTTACTTAAACACTTTTCTGGTGAGATGAGTAGTGACATTCATGAATATGTTTTTTTGATGATATATAGTGAAATGTCATTTCCATTTTCCAAATGACAACTGTATTACCACTCAAAGTGTTAGACCAGTTTACCTAAGAGACTATGAAAAAACCACTTGTCAAGTTTTGATGTATTAAAATAAGAAAATGTACCATTATCTCTAATGGTTATTAAAATACTTCTCTCTTTTGTAACACGTATCTGTGTGAAGCTGTATTTTCTTCATATACATTGCATCAGTGTATCCCAACCCACTGAATGCAGACAAGTTATGAGAATCCAGTTGTTTTGTTTAGCTAGACAGTAAAGAGATTTATAAAAATGTGAAACCATACCACTCACCTCATTAAATTTGTCATTTTGTTAAACAATCTACTTTTCATTAAAAAATGTGTTTGTGCATATTTAATGAGTTTATTATTGACTTAAATGAATTTAAACACTTAAAAATGATCAGTTTTAATTTCTAATATTGTAATTACTGACTGATATAACTTACATAAACAAAGCTTTTTAGGGACCTATAATTTTTTTTATTAAGGTATTACAGATGTACACTCTTACAAAGGTGTCACATGAAAAAACAATGTGGTTACTACAGTTACTCATATTATCAAGTCCCCACCTATACCCCATTGCAGTCATTGTGCATCAGTGTAGTAAGATGCCACAGATTCACTATTTGCCTTCTCTGTGTTACACTGTCTTCCCCGTAACCCCCCACACTATGTGTACTAAACAATACCCCTAAATCCCATTCTCCCTCCCTCCCCAACACCTCCCCTTTAGTAACTGCTAGGCCCTTCTTGGAGTCTGTGAGTCTGTTGCTGTTTTGTTCCTTCAGTTTTGCTTCATTGTTATACTCCACAGATGAGGGAAATCATTTGGCACTTGTCTTTCTCTGCCTGGCTTATTTCACCGAGCATAATATCCTCCAGCTCCATCCATGTTGTTGCAAATGGTAGGATTTGTTTTCTTCTCACGACTGAATAGTATTGCATTGTGTATATGTACCACATCTTTAGCCATTCGTCTACTCATGGACACTTGGGTTGCTTCCGTTTCTCAGCTGTTGTAAAAAGTGCTGTGATAAACATAGGGGTGCATATGTCTTTTTGAATCTGAGAACTTTTATTCTTTGGGTAAATTCCTAGGAGTGGGATTCCCAGATCAAATGGTATTTCTCTTTTTAGTTTTTTGAGGAACCTCTGTATTCCTTTCCACAATGGTTGAGCTAGCTTACATTCTCACCAACAGTGTAGGAGGGTTCCCCTTTCTACACATCCTCATTTGTTGTTCTTAGTCTTTTTGATACTGGCCATTCTAACTGGTGTGAGGTGATATCTCATTGTGGTTTTAATTTGCATTTCTCTGACGACTAGCAATGTGGAGCATCTTTTCATGTGCCTGTTGGCCATCTGAATTTCTTCTTTGGAGAAGTGTCTGTTTATATCCCCCGCCCATTTTTTAATTGGGTTATTTGCTTTTTGGGTGTTGAGGCATGTGAGTTCTTTATATATTTTGGATGTTAACCCCTTGTCGGATATGACATTTACAAATATATTCTCCCATACTATAGGATGCCTTTGTGTTCCACTGATGGTATCCTTTGCCATATAGAAGCTTTTTAGCATGATGTAGTCCCATGTATCCATTTTTGCTTTTGTTTCTCTTGCTTGAGGAGATGCCTTCAGGAAGAAGTTGCTCATGTTTATATTCAGGAGATTTTTGCCTATGTTGTCTTCTGAGAGTTTTATGGTTTCATGACTTACATTCAGGTCTTTGATCCATTTCGAGTTTACTTTTGTGTATGGGGTTAAACAATAATCCAATTTCATTCTCTTGGATGTAGCTCTCCAGTTTTGCCAACACCTGTTGTTGAAGAGGCTGTCATTTCCCTGTTGTATGTCAGTGGCTCCTTTATTGTATATTAATTGACCATAAATGGTTGGGTTTATCTCTGGGCTCTGTAGTCTGTTCCATTGGTCTGTTCTGTCTTGTGCCAGTACCAAATTATCTTGATTACTGTGGCTTTGTAGTGGAGCTCGAAGTTGGGGAGCATAATCTCCGAACTTAATTCTTCCTTCTTAGGATTGCTTTGGCTATTCAGGGTCTTTTGTGGTTCCATATGAATTTTAGAACTATTTGCTCTAGTTCTTTGAAGAATGCTATTGGGATTTTGATAGGGATAGCACTGAATTTGTAGATTGCTTTAGGCAGGATGGCCATTTTGACAATAGTAATTCTTCCTATCATTGAGCATGGAATGTGTTTCCATTTATTGATATCTTCTTTAATTTCTCTCATGAGTAACTTATAGTTTTTAGAGTACAGGTGTTCCACTTCCTTGGTTAGGTTTATTCCTAGGTATTTTATTCTTTTTGATGCAATTGTGAATGGAATTGTTTTCTTGATTTCTCTTTCTGGTAGTTCATCGTTAGTGTATAGGAATGCAACATATTTCTGTGTATTAATTTTGCATCCTGCAACTTTGCTGAATTCTGTTATTAGCTCTAGTAGTTTTAGAATGGATTCTTTAGGATTTT